GGAGCTAGCTTACCCCAGGCTCCATGCTTCCACACGGGAGCAATTTTATGATGTTTTATGACAGCAGAACGAAAGTCACAGATCACAGCTTTTTAAAAAGGATCCATACATAGATGGATACTTTTGAGAGGTTTTTTATAGCAAAACAGGGAGTCTCTCATGTAGGTCTCAGATGCTGCCTGATGATACTCTGAGTTTGGGGATTGGCAGAAACTAGTGGTCTGCTAAGTTAATAAGTTCCAAAGGTTTTTATCTGTTAGTCATAGGATGTTAGTTCTGACGTAGAGAAGGATGAGGAATGGCCATTCAGGGGAGCTAAAGGTAGCCCAAAGGTATGGTATAGGTTCTGACTCTCCATATCATTTTAGTTCTAATCAATCAATCAATCAGTCTTTGCAGACAGAGCTTCTTTTTTAGGAATTCTTAGTCACATTTAAATGGCCCTTTACTAAGTTGCTGTGTTTTAAACATCTTTGTGTTTGTATATCTATTTGTCTAGATTTTCTATTCAGCCCCATTATGTCTTTACTATTTTTCTAATTTTGTGCAATGATTTCCAGGATTATTGGTTTTTAATCTCCATCCAGATATGCTTCCTTTGACTTAGTTGTGTCTGTGAATGATACTTTCCCCCATTTTTATTCATTGAGTTTTTCATTCCTAGTATTCTATTCCTTCCCTCCCCCCCTCCCCCGATAATCTCAGTTGCTTTTCACTTTCTCTTTAATGTCATTGACATTTTTATTCACCTTGATGGTTTTCTTGTCCTTTTTTGTCTGCTTTTGCTCAAAAGACATTCTGAGTACCACCTTGTTTGCATGCTCTTTGAAGTCCTTGATCATTTCTACTAGTAACTTTGAAGTTTTTTTTTTTTTAATCTATTTCAGAATTAGAATTCAATAGCTGAGAAGTTTTGATTGTAGTAGCAGCTGGACAGACTGCAGCTGGGGCAAGAGGAATGACACAAATGTAGGGTGATGGAAAGAAAGGTAGACAGCAGAAACTGAAGATGGCTTGAAGATTTTAACACACCACAGGGGGGAACTTAAAGCTACAGTTGGTAGAAGAGGTCCAGAGAGGAAGCAAGTGCTTGGGTTCTTGGGTTGAGGAATTCCAGCTTCCTGAGCCCCCAACAGAATGGAAAGATGCACAGCAAAAGTCCTGATACTTGAGTCCTGCCACACTTGAGGGCACCGGGCACCATCTGTGTTACTGCCACGTGACTACTACCACCACCCCTTGTTTCTAACCACCAGGGATATAAGTATGCCAAAGACAAGTTGTTAAAAGACCTTCTTGACTGTTTATAATTTCTGTTTAGTTAGAGCAAAAAGACTCCACCCCATGGAACTTACTGAAAACATAATGTATTCTACTGGTCTCTGTATCTGTAGAGTATACTTCTACAAATATTTTAGTTCTATGAAGTGTATCATTGAAACTTTTTTTTTTTTAGTATTACATTGAATGTATAGACTGCTTTCAGTAAAATTATTTACTTCTACAATGTTATTTCTCTGACATCATAGGCATAAGAATTCACTTACTTTATTATGGACAGTTTTCATTGTAGCTGTTTTTTTCACCTTGGTTAGGTTATTTCCAAGTAGTTCAGAATAAGAATTTTTAATATACAGCCTAGACTACCCAAATTGGATTCTTTCTCAGTCAAAAGCACATATGAGCTTTTTCTTACTTTCTTCTTCTTTTTATTTTTTAAGATTTACTTTTATTTTATATGTATGGGTGTTTTGCCTGCATGTATGTTTGTGCACCACACTAATGCATTGCCTGAAGAAGTCAGAAGAGGACATCAGAGTTCCTGGAATTGGCGTTAGATGGTTGTGTATTCCCATATGGGTGCTGGGAATCAATCCCTGGTCCTCCGAGGGAGCAACAAGTATTCTTAAATTCTGAGCCAGTTCTCCAGCCCAAATACAAACTTTTCTGAGAGAGAAATACTTTTTCTATCTGCTATCTCCTGTTGTAAGAATTTCTATTTTCATTTTGTTACTTCATCATTCAGCATTTTTGTGTGCTTCTGTACAGTCTTTGCTCATGCTGCCCCCAATCTTATTTTTTATGTATGTATGGATTTTTTCAGACAAATGTTTTATAGAACACTCTGCTGTATTTAAATTTTATGGTGCATTTATGGTATGCATATGCACACGTACATCCCTAGATATCAGAGAACAACTCATAGGAGACAAGTTTTCTATTTCCAGCAATTGAACTCAGCTCATCCGGGTTGGGGGCAAATACCCTCACACACTAATCTGTCTTTCTGGTTTCCTTAAAGCAGTTTCATGTAATTAATACTTCAGAACAATCTCCAAATTAACTAGCTCCAACCATAGGATGTTAATTTTTTAGTATTTATTTCTGTGTGTGTGTGTGTGTACATTCGAGTGCACACATGAATGTGCGCCATGTGAGAAGTTCAAAATACAATATCCAGGAGTGAGTTGTAGCCTTCCACCATGTGGGGTCAGGGACTATGTAGCTGGAGTTTCTTTCTAGCCTTATCCCACAGCCATTTAGCCCCAAATAAACGCACAGAGACTTATATTAATTGTTAAACTGTTTGGCTAATGGCGTAGGCTTCTTTTTGGCTAGCTCTCTCTTAATTATTAATCCATTTCTATTAATTTAACTATTTCCCCATGGTCTTATCTTACCAGAGAATCTTGTCTCTCAATAGCTCTCAACAGGCATCTTCTCTGTTGCCTCCTCTCCCTAGAATTCTCTTCATCCCATAGCCCCGCCTGTTTTCCTGCCTGGCCACAGGTCAATCAGTGTTTTATTCATGAACCTGTAAGAGAGACATATATACAGAAGGACATCACCCATCAGGACTGACCTCAGATCCTCATGCATGGCAACAAATGATTATCCAATAAACCACTTCCCTGGTCCAAGATAAAGATCCTTAAAAGAATTACAGACATTTTGAAAATGAAATACTTAATATAGTAAATAAAAGGTTAGTCAATAATACCACCCGTAGACTACACCAAGGAGAATATATATATAAACCTGTTAAATAAGGTTGGCATCCAGAAAAATAAAGGAAATAAAAATGAAAAAAAATTAAACTATACCTTTCAAAACATCAGTTATGGGCAACCAAATTCACAAGGTTTTGGCATCAAAGATGGTGTGAGGTACTGAAAGAATTAAAAAAAAAAAGTATATAGTTATACAAAACAGAAATAGGAATTTCCCCAAGGAAAACTGAAAAGTACAAATGCAGTCTGCCAAATGATTGATAAAAGGAAAACACATCTCCACAGTAAAGCTCCAGGCCAGGGTATCAAAGAATAATGTATGCCAGTCCTAGAAAGAAACAGCTGCCATCTGTTGTTACCACAGATGTAAAAATCAGTTTTTGGTATCAAAGAAATAAATGCTTCTCCCAGCATCCTTGTAGAAAACACAGACTTGTATTATGTCCTATGGGGTGGGCCTCAAATTCATCATTTGCAATCTATGGGGCCTCTAGCAGCAGAACCAGTATTTATCCCTAATGCAGGAATGGGCTTTGGGAGCCCAGTGCCTATGGAGGGATACACTCTCAGCCTAGGTACATGGGGAGTGCCTAGGTCCTACCACAAATGATGTGATATACTTTGATGATCCCTCATGGGAGGACTCACCCTCCCTTGTGGGGAGTGGATGAGGTGTGGGATTGGGGGTTGGTGGGGAAATGGGAAGACAAGAAGGAAAGGGAACTGGGGTTGGTATGTAAAATAAGATTGTGTTTAAATAAAAATTTAAAAAGAGAATGCAAGACATCTTTGCATCATTAAACAAATATTGTACAGCACAAATGAATATAGTACATCTTCAACTAATATTTTACAATAGTCCCAGAGGACAAAGGACTGCTTCTGGATAGAGGAGACAGACATGACTCATAGCCAGATGGCAGTTAATAAAGCTAAATGGGAGACCCATGTTAGGATGAGATGTTTAGTTTTGATTGGGCATGTTAATTAGGTGAGCCAAAGGGGGCTTTCGATTGCTGAATGTCAACATATTAATAGCTGAGCCTTTGTAGTCAGCCTCAGGAGGAGGAAGTGGGCAAATAAGGGAATAGAACTTGGCAGCTAGTTTTAGGAGTGTAATCAAATGGTTTTTAACCTGACAAAGGGAGTGGGGGTGGGGGGGCAAGGTTGGCTAGAATACCTTTATTTCTACTGTAGGAAATGGGAGTGATGTGAATTGAGTGATCCTTTGTTTATGTGTAAATATTGGTATTCAGTGACTCTCAAAACTATACATTAACTTGTCAAAGTCCTCACTAAGAGCTATGGACCTTACTTCCTGTATTTTGTTTTAAGTGGATCTTTTAAGCCATGTGTTGTTCACTTATTCATGTTTTGTGTACATTGTATCTACTGCAAATACTGTTGTTTTATTGCCTTTTACTTCCATTTCTTTTTGTGTATTGTATTCCTTCATACATTCTATAGAAATAACTTTTTTTCTCTCTTGCAAAAGGAAGTTCATTGTTTAAGAAATATGCTAAGAATGACAATGATAATTACAGAATACTGTTTTATGTTGTTGTAAACTGCTGAATGGCAGTGAGCCCCTCCTTATAGTTTAGCTTGTTAAACCCATTTAATGTAAAATTCCCAGGCTCTAGAAGTGGATGAAGTGTACTAACAGACATATATAACTGTACATGCTCAGCAGAGCTGATGCTCACTGTGGGTTCTAAGTTGTTGAAGCTTGTGGTATGCAGTACAAAGAATAATTGAAACCAGCATCACAACAAAGCACTGGGATCTATATTACCTTTATTATATAGGCATACACTACCCTTAGAATTGTGTGCCAAGATGAGAGAATGATTAGTAAGTTTGTGCTATCCATGATATAAAGTGAACATATTAAGAAAGCATGGAGAGAACTTATCAAGTAACTAATGTGTCTCCACTTTTATCTTTCTTCTAATAATTACATTTTAGTAATGCTCTGAATTATTTTAGGAGCCAGTGAGCTTTGATGATGTGGCTGTGAAGTTCACTCTAGGAGAGTGGGCTCTATTGGATTCAAGTCAAAAGGAGCTCTACAGAGATGTGATGAAGGAAACATTTATGAACCTGATCTCCATAGGTAACAACAAAACAGTATGATTTTTTTTTCCTTATTCAATTGGAGAAAAACTGTTTTTTGGTCATCTGTATAATTATATGGCTTGAAATATTCAAAGGGAATATTCTTGTCATAGCATGACTGGTCATGTTATACAAGAGAAAAAGCTGGAAAATAAGGTTGAATAACATAATGATTTCTTGCTTTTTAATTTCTAGGGAAAACAGAGAAAGAAAATATTGATGTGGACTATCAAAAACTCCAGAGAAATCTGAGGTAATTTATACTTACAGAAAAGGGAAGTTGCATCAGATATTTGAGAAGGAGCGAAAATCTGAGAAATAAGGAAGCCATCACAATAGATCAAATTGTAAATTGACTTTATCTCAAACTTTCTGTAAAACTTCACCAAGCTTGAGACTTCATAAATAGATGAATACTTTAATTCAGTACTCATGTAGATTTTGTGCCCTACACCTGTAACAAAATGTGGTGTACCCTTTAGCTAAGATATTCTCTAGTGGTCCCTTACATAAAATTGCCTGTTGTCTACAGAAACATTTGATGTATTTTTAGAAGGGTTACTTTGGACCTTATAGTGTTTATGTGTGAACTAAAGGTGAGTTTGGGGTTTAGGTTGAGACCCATCTTCGAAAAATTGCCTGAAAGATATTCAGCTATTTAAAATTTGAGAATGTCGGATTCACATTGTATTGTGCTATGAATATTCAGCTTTGTTAACTGTGCCATAGACAGTGTTTATCAAAATGGCACTGTAGAACCTTTTATGGTTGGATGCTGTCCTGAGACCTTGCTGAATGTTCAGTTCTTTTATGTTCATAAATTCTATTGGAAATATACTCAGTACATTTGTTTCCTTCTCAGGACAGGGTCTTTCTCTGTGGCCTTGTTTGCCCTCAGCTTGATCACTATCTGCCACTACCTCCTGAATATTGCACTAACAGGCAGAGACCACAAAATCCATCATCTAGTATTTACCTAGTTATAAAACAGGAATAATGCCTCCCCCCCCTTTTTTTCAGCATTCAGGTCATTGAGCGATTCTGTGATTATGAATATGGTAGTCAGTATGGAAAGACCCACCAGGAGATACCAGAGAATATTGTTAGTGTGGACAATCATCCTGCAATCACAGTTTCTGAAAGCAGTATGTATGTGGAAGACATCAATGGTCGCTCGTCCTCTGATATGCTCAGTAGAAGTCAAACTGAAGAGAAATCTTATGGGTGTCAGGAACATGTGGAGAAGGTTATTAAACATGAAAAATGTTGGAAAGATTTCACTTATCCTGAGTCTTTTCAGACACTTAAGAGTACTCCTGCTACAGAGAACATCTTCGAAAACAAACAATGTAATGAATCTTATAGTAATCTCACTTCTCATCAAGACTGTGAGAGAACTCACACTGGAGATGAACTACATGAATGTAAGCAATTTGAGAAATCCTTGAAGGAAGAAAGTTATGTTCAAATATGTGAAAGGATCCATACTGGAGAAAAACCATTTGCATGTAAACAATGTGGAGAAACCTTCATTAATTCCAGTCACTTGGCCCACCATCAGAGAATTCACACAAGAGAGAAAACTTATTCCTGTAGACATTGCAGTGAAACTTTCATGTATTCCATGGCCCGTCAAAATCATGAAAAGACTCACAAGAGAGAGCGTAGTTACATATGTAAACATTGTGGGAAAGTATGTATTCATTCTTACCAACTTCTCCAGCATGAAAGGCGTCACACTCGAGAGAAACGTTATGCATGTAATCAATGTGGCAAAGCATTCAGAAGGTCCTCAAACCTTCACAAACATGAAAGAATTCACAGTGAAGAGAAGCTTTATGCATGTAAGCAATGTGGAAAAGCCTTCATCAGTGCAGGCAACTGTTACAACCATGAAAGAATTCACACTGCAGAGAAAACCTACATTTGCAAGCAGTGTGGGAAAGCATTTACATTTTCCTCATACCTTAGAAAACATGCAAGAATTCACACTGGTGAGAAACCCTATGGATGTAAATATTGTGGAAAAACCTTCACCCATTCTAGTGCTTATTATAGGCATGAGAAAATTCACACTAGAGAGAAACCATATGTATGTGTGGAATGTGGGCAAGCATTCTCTTTCTCCAGATCCCTCCAAATACATGAAAAAACTCACACTACTAGACAGAAATTTCACAAGTGTAATCAGTGTGGGAAAGAATTTGCATATTTCTCATTCCTTCAAAGACATGAAAGATCTCACAGTGAAAAGAAACCCAGTGGGTAGAACTTATATTTGTGTAAGCCATGTGTAACTGTGCTCAACCTGCTTTTGAAAATATTTATTAATCTTTTATTTATTTGTTTATTTATCTATTTGCATGGGGTTTCAGGCAAGAATACACCCATGCCCTGGTGTACATGTGGAGATTAGCAAAAACTTGCTGGAATCTGTTCTCTTTCCATTGTGTGAATCTCAGGGATGGAGCTCAGGTCCTTAAGCTTGTTAGTGGTCCTTTCCCTTCTGACCATTCCAGCAGTCATTTCTCGCTTTTCTTATGACTGGAGCTTCTTATGTTCTTTTCTGTGGATACTTTCTCCAAAAACAAATGGAGAGTTTGGGCTTGAGAGATAGCTCAGTGATTAAGAGTACCCACTGTGCTTGCAGAAGACCTGGGTTCAATTTATAACACCCACATGGTGGCTCCCAGCTGTCAGAGCTATAGCTGCTGGTGATTTAATGCTCTCTTCTGACCTTTGAATTGTACACACATGCACAAAAATATACATATATTTAGGATTATATATATATATATATATATATATATATATATATATATATGATACACACATAGACTTTTAAATAAAAAGATAGGGATAATATAAAATCTGCAAAAGTGTAACTTCTCCCATGTGTGCAAGTGTACATAGGATGAAAACCTGCTCTTGCATCAGGCATCATAAAATGCCCTTTATTCAAACACTGGGGCTAATAGTGCCTAGAAAATTGCAACACTGAATACAGGGGGTACAAATACTTTTGAAACTTAAGAAAAACAAGTTCCAACCAATTTAAGTTGTCATTAAAAATATGAGCGATCCAGGGGTGGTAGCACACATCTTCAATCCCAGCACTTGGGATACAGGGGCAGGCAGATCTGTCTGAGGTCCAGGCCATTTAGGGATACTCAGATCCTGTCTCAAAAAAGGAAAGAAGGGTGGGGGGTAATGTAGATAGTTCAAGGTCAGCCTGAGTTACACAAAACTCAGAAAAGAAAAGAATGTTGTGTTTTTCTTATGTAATTGAATCTTATAAAAATGAAAAAGGTGAATATCTTGAGCCAATTAAATCTGTAAATAAACTATTCCTGAAAATACCCTGAAAGAAATTAAGTAAAAGTCATGCATGTCTACAATATTTGCCTATTCTTACTGAAGACTTCTTGACTTTGCTTTACTTCTTTTTTCATTGAAAGTATAATTTAGTGAATAATTTAGTATGATTGCACATGCCTATTATCCCTGCTGCTCAGAGCTGAGTAAACTTGAGTTTGCATTTAAAGACCATAAAGACAACTCCTTAAGGAGCAAAACATAAACTGTCTGTCTGGATTGTAGTGGTGATGGAACTTTGCCAAATCAATTGCATTTTAGTCAATTAATGAGTATTTTTTATGGGTATTGTTTTGAAATCATGAGGTGATGCTTTACCCTTTACTATAAAGCTATATTGGACTTACTGAATTGCAGTTATGTGTTGTGCACATATGTGTTTGGGCATGAGTGTTCTGAGTGTACATTTGGATATCAGAGGACACTCCTTATTACACAAGTCCAGAAGTTGGAACTCAGTTTGTCAGGCTTACAGGCATGCTGTTAAACCATCCTACCAGCCCTTTAAGACGTTTTGATTAGTATTTTCTGACCCATCATTACACAGTAGTTTCTTAAAAAAAGAAGAAGATCTTTTCATTGTTAATTCCTTGACAGTTTCCATGTTTGAGTGGGCACTCCAGTTTTCTCAAACTTAGATTTGATGGTTTGTATTTTGTGATATATACTATCTCGAAATAAGAAATTTTTTTGTGTTTCCCTATTAGTGTATGTGTGTCTGTCTGTATGTGTGTGTTTATTGCAGATATTCAGAAGTAGAGGTCAGAAGACAGCCTTCAAGAGTTGGTCCTTTGACAGGCTGTAGTATCAAGTCATTTACCTCCTGAGCCCTGCCCAACCTACATAAGATTTTTTAAATGTTTTTATGTGCTATAAATAATTATAACTATAATTAAGCACTGTAACTATTTCTAGTACTAAGGAATGTTGCACACTGAGATGGTGCAACTGCTAAAAGAATATGCATTGATGTTCAATAGGATCTGAGTTTAGTTCCTAGGACCCATGTCCAGCAGCTAACAGCCCCCTCTAACTCCTGTTCCACTAAATCCAATCCATATGACCTCTAAGAACACATGTACTCACATGCACATACTCACACAAATGCACGTAAATTGATTACAATTAAGTGTGGCTTTGTTTTGTTATTGTTGAACAGTATTTTGATATTGCTTATTCAACTGAGGGGTTGAATAAAATTCTATCACTTTAATTTTCTCACTTGGCTGTAGTAATGTAGCAAGAAGAAGTAATTCATGCTTACAAGTTACTTTCATTTTAAAGATGCCAATGGCAGGATGTGGTGGCACACACCTTGATCCCAGCACTCAGCAGATCTCGGAGTTCAAGTCCTGCCTAGTCTACATAAGAAGTTCCAGAAGATTGGCTTTTATAGGAGTTAAGTCCTAGTTGTGTAGACTTGCTTTTCTCCCTTATTCAGTGTTTCACAAAATATATTGGACTCTGTTCTCTATCACTGTCAATACTTCTTAGCAGCACAAGATTTATAAAGTATGATAAAGGAAAATGTAAATGAGATGTGTGTTTAATACAGCCAAAGTAGTGAACACTAACTTCTACCTTACACTGCTAAAAAACACTTCAATCATTTATTGTAAAGTTGGTTAAAAAAAAAAAAAAAAAACTTGATTCTTAAATAAACTATTCATTGTGTGTAATCTGTATAGTACTAGTTTTGTGCAAGGGAACACATGATTGTCACACAACAGAGATCTCTTGCTTTCCATACTCAACAGAAAGTACAATTCAGTATATTACCCAACCCAAAAAAAAAAAAAAAAATCCAGCTTTAAAAGACCCAGCTTCCCTTGTCTTTTTATCATTTTACCCCCTTTTATTAAAAATAGATCCTTTTCTCATACAATGTATCCTGGTTGAAGTCCCCCCCCCACCCCACTTTCCTACCAGATCCTTCCCACCTCCCCTCCCTTCAGTAGAAAAGAATGGTTTTCTAAGAGATAAAAGTCAAACATGGAGGCAGGACATGGCATTCCAACAGAAGGAAAAGTGCCCAAGAATAAGCACAAAAATCAGAGGTCCATTCTTTCACACACTCAGGAGTCCCATAAAGACACTAAGGTGGAAGCTATGGGGTGCAGACTGATGTAGGCCATATCCCTGCTTCTTCAGTCTCTTTGAGTTCATATGAGCTTTGCTCAGTTGAGTTAGACAGCCTTGTTCTGGTGACCTCTGTTCCCTCTAGTGCTATATATATTCTTTGTGCTTCCTCTTCTTTGAGGTTCTCTTCCTCAGCTCTGAGGGAAGGGATTTGATGGTGACATCCTATTTAGAGTTCTGTGTTCCAAGTTCTCTGTGTATAATGTCTGGCTGTGGGTTTCTGTTTTTTGTTTGTCTTTAAAGACAGCTTCTCACTATGGAGTCTTGGCTGGCCTGTACCTCTTTGTTTAGACCAGACTGTCCTTGAGCTCACAGATCTGCCTACCCCTGCATCCCTAGTGCTGGTACTAAAGGTACCACACTCATCTTTCATGTTTGCTTTTCAACTATCATTAAAAACATACAAACATGCCAAGTCAGACCTTGGTAAGTCATTTTTCTTAGGTCAGTAGAAATACATCTTTTTACATAGCATACAATCTTCGTGTCATTTATGACTAAACAAAAAGTTGAGTTCTCTTGGTTTAAGCCGAGTAATGGCCAGAGACAGCACCACTTGTGTTAGATACTAGTTTTAAATCATCCTTCATATTGTTTGTGTAGCATTTGGTTAATACTTCTTTAAAGATATAGAATTCGGAATGAGTAGCCAGTTTCCAACAGTCTAACCTATCCCCAGCCTTGGAAGTTTTGATGTTACAATCTCACTGTCATTGATTGTTATAGATGTGCTTCAGTTGTTTATCTTTAAGCTTAATTTGGTGGATTATATGCATCTAGAAATGAACAAATTCTTTTTAAGAGTTTCCAATTCAGTGGAATATGCATTTTAAAGGTATGTCATAATGATTTTCTGAATTTTGTTGGTGTCCTTTTTACCTATATAGAACGTGGGTGTTCTATTTTGGTTAGTTTGACTAAGAGTTTGTTAAAGTGGTTTAAGTCTTGACAGCACCAACTCTGCTGTAACAGTACTTGGTGTCTAGCTTATTTCCTCTTCTTATTTCTTTTTAAAACTATTACTTTATATCTCTCCCTCACTCTCTCTCTCTCTGACACTATGTGTGCATGTGTATGCTATGCGTGTGTAACCACTCACCACAGGGCTGGAAGTCTGTTGTTTGAACTATAAAATGCTGTATATAGGTTTTTGTCCCCCATGACATTTCCTGTATTCTTGGACTATTCTTTCAAGACTTCATCTAATTCATTCTTTTTATCCCACTGAGTGAAAGTAAAGAGCATTACTAAGCTAGAGTCAATGAATCAAGCTTTATTTTACTTACAGGACTGACTCTCCAAAGCAGGATTTGGGAGGACTGTATGGATGAACTTTTCGGGCCTCTCTATAGAGGAGAACAAGGTTCAGACTTGGGATTTCCAAAGGAATTTGGTATTTAAGGACCTGACAAGTGAATTACAGAAGCAAATAGCAGATAAGATTATTTGATAGAACATCTTGGAAGAATATCTCAAGATTGCTTGGCAGAGTACTTTATATTATTAGAGCAGAGTTGAGGGTCCAGTCAAATACCATACAGTGCAGAACATGTCCAATTCCAGGAATAGGTTAGAGACCTGAGTTTTGCAGTAAAGAAAAATGAACTTATTTTGACCTTGTAACAACATGGCTTCTAATGTTACAGTTAGAAGGCTGGTCTATCAATTCTCATTGTGATTATTTACTTTGGATTTGATACTTCACAAAGTGGTCATTCTGCCTTGGATTTTAATATTTTTTGTTTATTCATTGGGGATTCTACATCTCAGGTTATTTTGTTAGTTGGATTTTTCTTTCCATACCTGTTGTATT